TTTTGAGAGGCTCACATCAACGCACTCTGCGCGTTCTTTGTATAGTCACGGCTGTCTTGGTATTTGCTGTCAACACAGTCGTTATCATATCCTTCTATGCCCGCTGCAACCCCACACATAAGTCTTGGGACCCATACCTGCCAGGCACCTGCTGGCCGGCAGCCACCGAGACAGGCTTGGTGATCTTGCAAGGATGTGAGTGAGCTCTTCAGCCTGCTATGAATCAATAATTGACGTTGGGCAGCATTCTCGGCGCTGACGGACTACTTCCTGTCGGCCGTTCCCATCTTCCTCTTTAAGGACCTACAGATCAGTCGGAAGAACAAAATCGTTCTTTGTGGACTCATGAGCTTGGGTGCAGTGTATGCTATCCGTGATTGACTCCTCAATGCTTGGAAACATCGTCACTAACATCATTTTGGTTCTACAGCACAGGTATCTTTGCGACAATTCGTACGGTCGAGTCCGGAGAAAGTTTGACAGGGTCATCAGCTTCGGACTCAACATACACTACCGTCATGGGTCTGACCTGGGCTGGAATGGAGCGCAACATCGCCATGATGATAGCTAGCGTCCCTCCGTTGCGCCCATTGGCAGAGCCTGTCGTCCGGCTTACCAGTAACACCTTCTCTAACCTGATATCTTCCCGTCGTACCCAGAACAGCTATGAACTGGGCTCGCAAGCAATAATACAAAGCCCTGGTCTCGGGACACCCTCGAAGCATTATGCTTCTGCTAAGCAGGCGGCACTTGCCAAGGATGACCGCAGTACGAGCCTCGAACATATCCTCCCACCTCAGGTCAACACTACCTCGGTTGTTTAATAGCTAAATTTTACCTGAAAGTGGATTATAGAAATTCTAGCATAAGCACTATCTAAGTCATTGTAGTCTGGACTCGCTTTAGGCCGATTCACCCCGTCAGATATGGGGAAAAAAAATCGCGCAAGCTACATGTGTAATTAGTCTGATAGCTATCATTACGTAGGTCTCGGAATGAAGCGTAAGATGCAGTCAGATTGGCCCCACAAGTGGAACAATACATGCTGCGTTATTCTTTTGTAATACGTGATGCGAGGCCTGCCAGCCTCGAGCAAGACATCACTGCCACGGGCGAGTTTGATCACAATCATGCATACATGCAACCCTCGGCTACGAGCTGTCAGCGCAGGACAAACCATGGCTGAAGCTAAAATTGGCCCCCACACGGAAGGACTATCAAGTTAGGGTAATACTTCCTGTCACTGTATCTTGTCGGAGAAGCTAATCCTATTCAGCCTCGCCTCCTCTTCCCATAGCGGAAGACGAGCTTTTTCATCCTGCCTCGAGTAATCGTCTCGTCCCATCAGAGTCCAGCCTCTGCCGATCTAACCGGTGCAGCTCTGGGCACAGACGGGGTTGATACCGAGTCAGCCGGACTGGGAATAGTATTTTCGCAAAGAGAAATGGTATAAATACGCTGCCCATATCTTCCTATACTTCTCTCATTCAATGTAATAGTGCAATAGACAAGATCCCTTTCTTTCCTTCAATTATCCAACATCCGTTTCAATCTCAGTCCCAATGGATGCCCTTCCTCCTACTCTTCAGGCTCCAGTTGACTGTGGTCGACGGCTGCTGCCTGCTGTGCTAGATGAAGTTGCCATCACTGATCCTCAGCGAGTCTTTGTCTCCGTTCCACGCAATCCAGAGAACGTGTCGGCTGGCTTTCAAGATATCACTTATGCCACCTTTGCCCAGGCCGTCAACAAGTGTGCCTGGTGGCTACGGGACCGAGTGGGCATGCCCACCGATCCTCAAACCATTCTCTACATTGGTCCTCTGGACATCAGATACATTCTCATCATCATAGCCGCCGCTAAGGCTGGTCACACAGTAAGTGCACGGCAGCCCCTCCAATGTTACGGCTCACGGCTCATTCCCAACTCCTAGGCATTCTTCAGCTCTCACCGTAATAGTCTGGATGCCCATCTGTCCCTGGTAGAACGCAGTGGCTGCTCGGTTGCTCTGCGGCCAAAGCAGGCGCCGGCCGTCCTCGATCAAATCCTGAAGGCTCGATCCATGAAGGAGGTGGATATGCCTGAGCTGGATTTCTGGTTCTCAGACCTGGACCAGGTCAATCCTCTTCCTTTCACCCTAACCTGGGAAGAGGCTCGCTACAAAACCTTCTGCATCCTACACACCTCCGGCTCGACCGGTATCCCCAAGCCCGTCTTCGTTCCCTATGGTAGCCTGGCCAGCAATGACGCCCATCAGCTCATTCCCTCTCTTGGAGGGAAGCCCACCCTGATGAACTACCTGAAAGGGAAACGGTTCTTCCTAGCCCTGCCAGTGTTCCATGCCGCTTGCTTGACATTCGTTCTAGCATTCAACATCTTCTCCGGCGTGACTGTTGTCCTCCCGCCCCCTGGACCACTTACCTCCGACGTTGCCAACAAAGTCATCACTTCCGCCAATCTCGACGGTGCGCTACTGGCACCATCACTGATCGTAGACCTTTACAACAACCCCATCCATCGCCAAAACCTCATCAAGCACCTCAACCTCCTCTCCTATGTCGGCGGCTCCCTCCCCAAAGCCGTCGGAGACGCCCTCTCAACCCAAGTCAAATGCATGTCCATCATGGGCACATGCGAGACCCTACTCTTCCCGCTCGAGATGAACGACGACCCAGCAGACTGGGAATACGTAACCGTGAGCCCCTTCTTTGGGCACGAATTCCAATCCAACCGTGACAGTCTATCGGAGCTAGTCCTCCGCCGCCAACCCAACCACGAGCTCTTCCAAGGTGCTTTCTACACCTTCCCAGACAAGCAAGAGTACCGCTTCGGAGACCTTTTCGCGCAACACCCACATCGCCCGGAGTCCTGGGTATTCCGGGCGCGGACAGACGATATCATCGCTTTCACCACTGCTGAAAAGCTGAATCCCATCACAATGGAGAGCGTGATTGTAGCCAGTCCCAAGGTCAAGTCCGCCGTTATCGGCGGTCAAGGCCAATTCCAGGCCTCGGTGTTGATTGAGCCATATGACTATCCAGCCTCACCCGCGGAAGAGGAACAATACATCCAAGAGATCTGGCCGTATATCACCAAGGCGAATCGCGGATGTCCCGCTCACGGCCGCATCATGAAAGGCTTCGTCATGCTCACTTCCCCGGATAAGCCGCTTCCGCGCGCCGGTAAGGATACCGTTCAGCGTCACGCGGTTTTCAAGCTCTACGCTGCGGAATGGCAGGCTCTGTATGATAGGATGCGTCCTCATGTCGCTGCCCCTGTCGCTACTTCTTCTACTACTACTTCGTCATCTCCCTCACTCTCACCCTCTACCCCTCCTCTCCGTCCCGACTCCCCCACCACCACAAATAAATCAGCATCAGCCCTAACCACCGAAATCGAAGAAGTCCTCCACCAACTCCTCCCTAAAGCCGTCGAGACAGCCGTCGAAAAAGCCATGCAGGGGGTTCTCACTCGTCTTCTGACAGGTCTCACTACTGGTTCTGCTACTACTGCGCCTGCTCTATCCCCTCCTACATCCCCCTCCTCCTCCTCCGCCTCCTCTCCTAACACAAACTCCCATATCCATATCCCCAAACACGACCTTAAAACCTTCATCCACGCCCACCTCGCAGAAACATTAGATCAGCAGCAAGCCTGGACCGACGACTCGGATCTATTCCAGTTTGGTCTCGATTCGCTCAAGGTCATCGAGCTGATTGCGGAGGTGAATAGGTTTCGGAAACAGCGGGATCCGAATGCTGCCCCGGTGGATCAGAAGCTTATTTATGCGAATCCGTCGGTGAATCAGATGGTTGGGGTTATGAGTGGGTAGATCTTTCTTTTTATCCTATAGTTGATGTCTGCGTTATGGTCATGCTGGTTTTGTAAATTGTTATGTATATCTCTGTTGGAATCTCTATCAAAGTACATATGTTTAACTTGGGTTTGAGAGTTTTTGCTGCTTTGGCTGTGAGGTGAAATCAACATTTATATTCCCAAGAGCTGCTCTCAAAGCCAACTGAATATTGCCTTAGCTACACCGTTTGCGCTGTAATTCTCGTTTAGAATGATTTTTCATAGTTGCACAGTGATTGGTTGGTCATTACCAGTAAAGTTCTGCCGAACTTAAAGGCAGTGATACGGAAAGGGTTATTAGATTTCGCACTTATTCCCGGGGATCCAGTCGCAAGATTATAAAATATAGCTAATAAGACTCCTAGAGATCAGTGAGTAGTAGAAAACATCAGCTTCAGAAGATAAAAGCCGGGTATCTGAGTGTGACTTATCAGGGTTCAGGCAGGGAGGGTGAGAGCGTTCAGGTGAAGGAGTATGATGCACCGTTCGCTTTGTTCGAAAGCGTTAGATGCTCAGTCTAGTGAGATAAAAGGGATCAAACGTGTGTCTGTATTCTCTAGTATTCTCTAGGAAGAAGAAGATGAGCTAAATACATGCAATCATCAGAAAGGATGTAGTGTGGTCTGCTTCTTCATCCCCGAAGGGGAAGGTGCCCGTTGCAGATGAACAATCGCCGTAGGTGAACAGGATGAAGAGAAAAGCAGTACGGCCATTAAATCTAGTATAAATAAGGAGGAAAAAAAGACAAAAACATACAACAGAAGGGATTCGCTGGTGGTCACCCACCCAACTACTAACCTCCCGGCGTGTGGCTTAAGTACGGCTGAGCGGACGGGAAGCCCTGTTTTCCACACCCTGTGGTCGTATGTACTTATCCTGTAGTTGGGAAGGATTATATTGTTACGAGTGGTTACCATTGAGGATAGAAGAGGTGAGAGTTGCGTGGTGCATATCCCATAATGTGCAGGGCTGCACTGCAGCTTTAGGCTTGGATCGGAATATGGTGAAGCTAGTATGGCAATAAAAGGTATATCTTCCTTTAAAGGTGCTCTATACAATTTGCTTGGTTATTAGAAATGCCTTTAGGAATGAAGTAAGAATCTACTACTACTTCTACAATGTGTGCTATGCTTTTGGTCCAGAGCGTACAGCCAATGGTTTTGATATTATAAATGCACGACTGTGTGACGGCAGGATGAAAGAAGATTAGCAATTATCTGAAGTGTACAGAGCGCACCACAGCTCTTCAAACTTTCTTTCAGTTAAGAGAAAGGAAGGCAAGCCCCTTACTGACTGCAGGAAGCGCCAGAGGGAACATTCTCGCAATCGCTGCTGGTGTCACCGCCGGTGATGTCAATGCCCGACATGGTCCAGTCAGAGCAGCTGCCGTCACCGCAAAGGATGTAGATCTCGACAGCATCAGAGTCAACCGAGCCAGTGATGTCCTCAAGGGTAACATCGGAGATGGTAACACCGTTGGAGGGGGTACCGGTAGGGTCACCGTTCTCGTAGTCCTGCTCGATGACGATACCGTAGTCGGAGATGCCGGAGAGCTGGATGTTGGAGTAGGTGATGTCCTCGACGGTACCGGTAGCGTCGTAGACAGTCTTGATGCGAACACCGTTCTCGGAGTCAGAGACAGTCGAGTCGATGAAGGTGACGTTCTTGACGGTGTTGTCGTCGCGGCCACCAACGGAGCCGATGGACAGACCGTGACCGCCGGAGCAGGTACCGCCGGAGAAGTAGATGTTCTCGCCGGAGTTGATGGCGACGCAGTCGTCCTGGTTCTTGACGGTGGCACCGGTGATGGTGATGTAGGTACTCTCGCTGATGTCGAAACCGTCGGTGTTGTGGCCGCCCTCGGAATCACCGTCGCTGTTGTCGATGGTGACGTCCTCGATCACGAGGTTGTCCGACTCGACGGAGATGGCCTGGACAGGGGTGTTCTTGATGTAGAGACCAGAGATCTTGGAGTCGTCGAGGTCGTGGGCGTAGAAGAACTTGGGCTTGGTCTTGCCGCCGTTAGTTCCCTCACCATCCCACCACTTAGCACCGTTGCCGTCGAGGACGGCGTCGGAGGACTGGGTAACGGTGATGTCGTTACCGGAGATACGGAGGAGGGGTCCGTCCCACTCCTCGTACTCCCAGGTGGTGGTTCCCTCAAAGGTGACCTGGAATCGCTGTTAGAACGGTGCTGACGCTACGGCCGGGAGAGGCTTACGGTGGTGCCATCGTTGAGGTCCTTCAGGTTAAGGGTCTCACCGGCAGGGACGGTGATGTCCTTGAGGACGATGTCGGAGCAGGAGGTCTTGCTCTCGGAGGCGGTGGCAGCATCAGTGAAGGTGCAGGTGGACCGCTTGTTGAAGTCGGTGGCGCGGGAAGGCGCAGGAGCAGCCAGAGCGGCACCGGCCAGGGTCGCGAGGCAGAACAAAGGCTTAGCAGAAGGCATGGTTGCGAGTTGGATGGTTATCTGATCAACAGAGTAAATGAAAGACTGGGCAGTTCTGATCTACAGAACAGAGACAAGTGAAAACGAGAGAAGGAATGAATGATTGGCTTGCGCTGAAGAACAAAGGAAGCTGCAAATCCGGCGATGAGCTGGGTCTTATATACCCTGGAAGCAAGCCTCCTTCATTGCGACTTATCCAATATCGATGCATGCATTAGACCTAGCTGGGTCAGGCAAAACTTCGGTAACACGCCGTGAGAGAAGCTCTCATAACGGGAAGGATCGGTCTAATGCTGCCTGCATGGGTTGTGAATGGGTAGCACCCGGGAGCCATCAATCTCTAACGACCCATCAAGGCTAGAAGGGCACTAAATAAATGGGTTGACGCGGCATTTCTTAATCGAACTTGGCTTTAAACGTGGGCCCGAGCCTATCGCGGAGCGTCCCGATAACATCGCACACAGCAAATCTGATTATGCTTCAGCCACCCGTCTCAGAGACATCAAGCCCCTTTTCGGCAGTTGATGTTCTTACAGTTGTTGATCTTCGAATTTACTCGCGGGTGATTTTCATCTCCTTCCCTTGTATGACAGAAACACATGCCTTAACCTATGATCAACTCTGTTGCACGTACGAACCAGGGGCCCATGGTCCGCGATCCGATTGTGCCGATGAGATGAGGTCCACTCCACCCAAAGGAGTTAACGAGGCCGAGTCACACCGTTCGGGATCTTCGCACCATAGGAAGCGCACACGGAGGATTGAAACACCACCAATCTCAGTGCCCCTTTCTGGCGTCAAGAATACGGAGAACGGCGGAGACTAGTCCCAGAATTCTTCAAATTTTCCAAACGAAGTTCATATTAGCAGCGTGCATAGCGATGTTGAACTGCTGATCAATTCCCATTACGTTGGTATGGGGCATGCCATTCCCCACCCGGCGTCGCCAGTCGGCATCATCAGGGGTTTTGGGCAATTAAGTCAAGCTCATCTCGGCAAATCCAGAGGCAGGAGGAATGCAGGTGTCCAGGTTGCAGGGTCCGGCGTTACAGAGCCAACCGGGGAGTGTATTAGCGCCCACATTGAGAGCGGCATGACGAAGGCAATGGCCATACAACTGAGGAACGGAGAAACGGAGCACAAGCTTTCCCTTTCTTCTAGGGAAGGGATGCCTGAAAGCTTGGGTCTATATTAGTTAGTAGTCTCAGCTAAGCCCACATCAAAGAACAAGCTTGGTCCATATGCCCCTTTCAGGTCTGGATTAAGCCTAGACCTTGGCCGAAGCAATATTGGGATGCCATTCGTATGTACGGCCTCGTAACGAGCACTGCTCTCAAGCAAGGCATGCAGGTCCTATAGTGCTTCAGGATTATAGCAGGTACCACTGTTAATCTGCATCAGAGATGGATTCGTTTGGTAAATCGCAAGTATTCCAGAGTGGCCGGTTGTCATAGCCTCCAATTAGAAAGCAGCTTGCAGTAATTGCTCAAACGGCATCCCGAGTCATTGGAATATTTGCTATCGTCTAATCGCCCCATTGCTGTAGGGCTTCCGGCATCCGCGTAAAATTCGGAACCCTTCAGCAGGAAAGGGCCCTTTCTGCCCCGTAGGATGGAATGGCGCAATCCGGCACAACGTATATCCATCGTCATGCCTGGTGGGTTCGGGATAGAGACCAGTCCCTTTGCTAAGTGGATCAGAGAGGAGTCGAAGTGAAGTAGCGGAGCCAGGACGTTGTTGACACGCCCTGGTTAAATCCGCAGGGCTCCTATAGGCTCCTGGACGAGCTATAGAGTACTTGTATGCACGCTTGTCTATATGATGAAGCTTGTCGCAAATATGAGGGACATAGCAGCTGCCCCTTTGCGTTCAGTGGGTCTTAGGGAGGCATTCAAGGGACATCACAAAGTTACCTTCTTTCAGGCTCAATTGTGGTACAGATGGATTTGATATTGGGTTTCTGCGTATTGTTTTTGTTGGTCGTCTTTCGGTCGTCTGTGATGTCAGAATAAGAAATGGCAGTAGTCCATCTGCTGCTGCAGTGGTCATGTGACGGACAGAGATCATCGTGCTTTTTGTCTCTTTTGCATACTTCCTTCTACCTTGTTATAACTCTTTCTCTTCCTCTGTTTTCTTTCTCCACTATGGCCGGTGAAGAAAGGTTTTGCGCTACCGATGTGAGCCGAAATTTTTTAAACACCTGTTGAGAGTCTCTCGGAAACCGCTTCAATTTGAGACGGTGCGGTAATCCCAATGCCACATCGTTGAGTTACAGAGATACTGTCTCTATGTACAGAATGAACTGGCCAGCTCAGCGGCTGCAACAACCCTCATAGTTGTGATGTCCAAGCCGCCATATCTCTTGAAGAACCCATAAATTAATGTCTTTCTGACTCAACGGTTCTCTCTTTATAGCTCCTCATACCCTCTGCCAAGATGGTTATACAACATAGTGCACAGTGTCTGTAATGGTTGTTTTTTACTTCTCAAGCAATCAAAGGCAGTCAACTAAAGTAGCCCATTTCTATGCATAGAAGAACCAACCACCACCGCCCCAGCATCCACCCACCCACCCAACACATTGCATCACAACCTAAACCTTCCCAACCTTCTCCTCAATATCTCCCTTCAGCCCTTCCTCAAGCTTCACCTCCTTCTGCAGTGTCGCCGTATCAGCATCCTGTGCCCCCGCAACAGCCGTCTCAAAGCGACGGCCACGCTTCTCGGGTCCAAACGCAGTAGTAACGGCAATGCCCGTCGCAATTATAGCCGTAGCGACGCCCATGACGGGTCCGTACGCCGGAGCAGGCTTCCCCGATGAAGAAGTCACGAAGGTCTTTTCAGCAATTGCGTTGACGATCTGTGCGGAGGGAGAGGAAATCATGTTTCCGACTTGGTAAGTTATTCCTATAACGGTTCAAAATGTGTTAGCAACTCCAATTAGGATAGTGGAATAAGTCTGCCGCTATCGATAGGAAAGTGATAGAGACAGCGAAACAAACCAGGAAATGAAGACCGGAAAGCAGGAGGCGACAGCTCGTTGAGATGGATCGGGATCACGCCCCACGCGCCCTGAATGAAGAATTGGATAAAGAAGCCCGTCACGCTGAGGGCGCGCTCGCCTTCAGGTAGGATCCAGGCCGGGATCAAAATGCCGGATATGATGGCAGAGACGATGATCGCGCGACGGCGACCGAAGAACTGTGAGAGATAGCCGATGATGGTGCCACCGACGCAGGCGCCAGTTTTCATGAGGATAGAGGCACGGGAGGCCGCGGCATTGTTCAGGTCTTTTTGTGTGAGCATGAATGTTGTGTAGGAGTCTTGGGAGGTGTGTGAGTAGTAGTTGAACTGTTAGAGGAATGGGGTGAGGTGTTAGCTTTGTTGGTTTAGGCATTGGGGCTAGAGACATACCCAGGTCATGAGGATGACGCAGTAGACACACATCTTCCATTCTTGGGCAAGCATTTGTTTGGTTTCGCGCCAGAAGGCCCCAGGGTCGGAGGAAACTCTGCCTGCTTTCTTGGCTTCGATAAATTGCTTCGATTCGGGGAAAAAGATGCGGATGACGCCGACGCCGAGGGAAATGCCGGCTGGGATGTGGTTAGAGTCACTCATGAAGTTAGGTTTTATCGATATCTAACTAACCTGCAATCCAGAAGACCGTCTTCCAGCTATCTGTCGCGCCGCCCACGCCGAGATTGGCACATGCTGCTAAGACGTATCCGAGGGAGTATCCTTGCTGAAGAATGCCGGACATGAGACCGCGAGCGCTGACACTAGAGGTTGTTAGTGAGGTGAGTAGGGTATGTTCTCAGTGTATCACACTTACGGGCAATGTTCCAAAGCCATGGCGATTGCGTTACCATACACACCTCCCATGAACAAACCGAAGAGGCTGCGAACTGCCAGGAATTGCTGGAAAGTGTGGCTGTAGATAGTGGCGATCTGGAGCACGCCGAGAACAATCATATTGAGGACCATTGGCCATTTGCGTCCAAACTTATCACCGGCAAGACCGAAGAATGCAGCTCCCACGCTTCTCAAGAGCAAAGTGAGAGTAATGGCTGTGGTCACATCTGTTTTGGAGCGACCATAGTACTTGGAGAGCTTCACAGTCTGGATTGACAAAGCGTGGAAGTCAAAGGCATCCGCAGTCCATGCAATGAGACCAACGATGAAAAACAGCCAATCCCGGGCACTCAGCTGTAGCATCATACTGATGGGGTTCTGAAGACGATCTGGGGCTTGCCATTCTGTGTGTGTCTCACCATGCTCGTTGGTCACCACAACTCGCTGCTTCCATTTGAACAGATCCCCCCACGCCTGTTTGGCAGTAGCCAGGATACCATCGGCAGGAGGTTCTGCTGGTTCATTTGCAGTGCTCATTTTTGCTCGCTTTGGGCTTTATACTGCTCTGAATTCTTGTAAGGAAAAGGGAAGATGCATACGCTGATGCATGCGCTCCTCAATGCATCTACCCCCCTCTCTTTATAACTCTGCTGCATTCACTGTCACCGTGTCAAGTGAATTCCCACCCAGCACCCCACATCATGCGGTGGGATCAATCTCCGCATATTCTCCAGATTTTCGTCCGTTCTTCCCCGCGAGCAATCTTGGGATTGGGCGGGCCAAGGTTGCGCCAAGCAGTTGGGCGGCATGCTCTCGTCCATGCGCCAGCAAATGTGCCAGCCACGCGACATGGGATCCGCTCAACATCACTAGTAGTTCCGACCCTATCGTGAGATGTTGGGAGTGAAGGAAAAGGTTTATGCCAAGGCCAACAGAGAGGGGTTTGTCCTACTGCCATAAACAGTGGCGGTGATGGCGGTCCTGTGACACGAGTGCAGGCAAGGGTCTGCTCGGTGAAGATGGCCATGCGGGCTGGGCAAGCGATTGTTTAGAGCTGTTCCTCTATCTGGAGCAGACATGGCTACTGGAAGTACTGGAAATGTTTTTCGCCTTTCGTGAGGATACTAGATGAGGCAGCTTCAATGGCTAGAGCAGACGCGTTGCTGGCCGGATATCTAATGCGGACCTGTGTCACAGTGAGTCAATTTCATTCTTTTGCCACGAAAATACTACAGCGCCAATTTCTAGTAATCTAACCTATCGGCAACAGCGACACCCTTGGCAAACCTTCAAGTGCACGAGCAGGGAGGCGCGACTCATCCGCTGTGGGGGTTATATGCTGGGACATATATCCCTCCGTCCGCTATCCAGACAGACACAATATATCGTTTTCTTTTGGTCCACCTGTTAGCGCTTTGACATTGTACAACCCAAAGATCCGTTTTGGCGAATCATTTGCGCATGAAGGTTGCGAAAGGAGAGAGAAGCTAGAAGGCGTACGGGACAACTCGGGAGGGCAGAACAAAGAAAGAGAGAAGATCACCTTTTCCTTTGCAAGTTGGACTTGATTGATATCATCATTCTTGCTCTTGTTGTTCATATGTTGCCATCTTCGGAAATAGTGTATGTCTCTGGGGAAAAGACCACTAGAATGGCCTTCCTTCTTTCCATACTCAGCTTCCGTTATAGATTGACTTTTGGCTGTTAACTTCTCATAGATCATAACAGTCGATCTTTTTCTTCCATTGTCCTTTGACCTAACATCAATATCATCCTCAGCCTACACTTCTTTTTATTGAATTTTCTGAAGAATTCAGCATGCAGTCTTTACCGAAATATGGTGTTTATTGCCATAGTAGCAATGGCTCTGATCATTGCCGCCTCACTTTACTCCACGGTGATGATTGAAAGCGATCTGGCAGCCAGTGTGGTTCTGGGACTGGCGAGAGAGCCTAAAGAGGGACCCTAAAAGCCCTCTCGATGGGTATTCTCCTTTGAAAAGAGAACCTCTTCGAGCAGAGATTAGCCTCACCTTCCTGCGCAGGCTGATCTGGGGTTCTCCTCTCGCCGGGGCCCTCCCAGCGATGGCGACCATGTCGCTTTTGGTGTTGCATGAACAGCAGATAAGCCCCGGCTGCACTGGCAATTGTCTGCCAACAACATAGTTTTCTATGCCCTAGGCTGCTGGCGGTGACCGCCAAGGTCAGGGAGAGTCCAGCTGTTATCCTTACTCACCAACTTTTTCTGGGTGTCGTTTGATTACTGCGTGCGTCTTCATCAGACATGCCCATGCTGCACATCACTGGATTGTGTAGAGTTTTGAGCCCGAAACTCACGGTCGGGGAAATTCTCATGAGAATTTGTAAGTCAATTGATGAACGTCTCAGGTACGGTCTAGGATATTCTATCGAACATATATGATGAATCCGATTATTTGTCAAGCTGATGCCGGCAAAACAGTCAGAATCCTGTTCCTGAGTCCTGCAAGGGTTGAAGCCAGCCCTAGTAGTAATAAACGCGTTAGAGTTGATCAAACTATGGACCGTGCGTCAGTGGCTGGAGGGGGAGAGAGTGTCAAGTTGAGCAAATCAAGGAGGTCAGTATGAGCGATTATTGTCGTCCACAACTTGGGTTTTTGCCATCTGCAGTGCAACTCCTCTTGCTGTCTCGGAAATGGGCACTGCCCCAACCAAACATGTTTCTTCCCGATTAATTGGCAATAAATGGTGGGTCATCAACCCGTATATATCTTCTTTGTGTTCCCAGTGACGATACTGACATATTCACCGGGCGATCAGTCAAGCCAGCCCAACTCACTCTTGTGATGCAGCTCATTGAGGCATTTGTCGGCTTCCAATAGCCATTCTCCTTTCAACACGCAAGGAGCCGATCTCGGACTATTTATTTCAATCAACAATCGAGACTCTGCCGACCAGACCATTTTCAGTTGTTCTCCTTCTCAGCCGTTTTACCTCAAGAGCTACCCCGACCGACTGAGGCATCTCACGCATGCCCCCACGCGAGTCCGTGGTCGACAATCCCAAGTCACCCCTACGCCGCTGTCACCACTACATCTACATCATCTCCTGGGCTCTACTATCGTCGCTTATTCTCTACTGCGCCGGAGGAATATCCTACGTCGATGCCTTGCTTCTCGCCTCCGGCGCAGCTACACAAACCGGCCTCAACACGGTAGATCTCAATCGCCTCCATGTGGTTCGACAGGTCACCTTGTTGGTGGTGTCAATGGTCACCAATGTCATCTTTGTCCACTCGCTGCTCGTGGTGATCCGTCTGTATTGGTTCCGGAAACGTTTCAAGAGAGCCATCAATGAGGCAAAGATGATGTGCCGCGCACAGCGGAATACCCTGAACCAAAGGCTTGCCGATGTGGAGAATGGGCCTTCTCGATCATTCTCGCGCGAAAGGCCAGCGGAGGACACGCCTTTACTTTCAACAGTCACCGAGGAGAGCTTGACTGTCTCGCCGAGCGAGTCTCCAGGGGGCAGGAGGTATGGCGCAACCGGCTCCATGAGCCCGCACATCACCTTTTGTGAGACGGACGCCGAGCACGAGGTAAAACAACGTCGACGGACATACTCTGGTACCTGGTCGCGTCGCTCCTTTCCTGAGATCGATAGTCCACAGCGGCGGCGATCATTCTCCGAGATGCAGAATGACATGCCGCCGCTGCCCTCGTTGATGTGGCAGTCGTCGATTGCCAGCTATTCCGATTGGAATGAAGCGCAAAAGGAGGAGCTTGGAGGTATCGAGTATCGAGCCTTGAAGACGTTGTTTATCATCCTTGTTTGCTATTATGTGGTCATTCACCTGCTGGGAGCCTTGCTCTTTCTGGTGTGGATCCTACCTAATAAGCACTATGGTCAGATCCTTGCAGACAATGGCCTCAGCCGGCCTTGGTGGGCTATTTTCACCGCTGGCTCGGCCTTCAATGACCTGGGATTCACGCTGACCCCAAACTCAATGGGGTCGTTTAATACTGCGGTGTTCCCGCTACTGGTGATGACCTTTCTCATCGTGCTGGGCAATACCGGTTTCCCATGCATGCTCCGCTTCATCATATGGATACTATCGCAGTTCACCACATATGGCAGCCCCCTCGACGATGAGCTCCAATTTCTTCTGGATCATCCGCGACGGTGCTTCACATTGCTCTTTCCCAGCACTGAGACCTGGCGACTGGCCGCAGTCCTCCTGCTCATCAATGCTATAGATCTGATCATCTTCTACACCCTCCAAGAGGTGAGTTGACCCAGAAGAACAAACCCTCACCTGAACCAGTTTACTCATGACTTCATCAGTTCCCTCATCCCAGCCCCATATCAGCCGGCCTCCGCCTCGTGAACGGGCTATTCCAAATCGCCTCTACCCGTACCGCCGGCTTCACCATTGCCTCATTAGGTACCCTCCACCCAGCCGTGCAAGTTTCCTTCGTAGGGATGATGTACATCTCCGCATTCCCCATCGCGATCGCCATGCGTAAAACCAACGTCTATGAAGAACGCAGCCTCGGCATCTACAACGAAGAGTACGACGAGCATGACAAGCCGCACCAATCCGACTCCCTAGGCGCTCATATCCAACGTCAGCTGGGATTCGATTTGTGGTTTGTCATGCTAGGATTCTTCTTCGTTGCCGTCGCCGAGGGGAAACGTCTGCAGGAAAATCGAACGGACATTGCCTTCTCGCTCTTCCCGATCCTGTTTGAGATTGTGTCTGCATACGGTACTGTCGGATTATCCATGGGATACCCTGGTACGGAGACGAGCCTGTGTCGGGAATTCAATGGCTTGTCCAAGGTGATTGTCATTGCGATGCAGGTGCGTGGGCGCCATCGTGGTCTACCACATGCGCTCGACCATGCGATACTGTTGCCATGTGATTTAGTGGAGCCCGACGAGCAGGGACGGAGGCCAGAGTGGTGGTGGAAACGTTGGATCAGGAAGAAGAGCTCCGACCTGGGGAACTTGTTTACGCATGATTGACAATTATTCAGCATGTATGAGCATAACTGCCTCCTGGCATATATCCATGTCCATCATAGTTCAAGTATGAAATGCAGGAATGCATTGCATGTCATAACATAAGCCTTCCCTGCATAATCTCTATCGATCGGAGTGACAATATCTCCACAATACAATAACACTAACAGTCTAACACTACTAATATTGCTATGTCCCTCGGCAGCACCGGGGATCTAATCCCCAACTCCGCTAGGTGGCAAGAGCCCACCTTAATAGCGAAACCCATACATGTGAGGCATTAAATGTGCTGTGCATTACCACTGCTTGTTCAAGCATAATACATTAAACCATTCACAATTTATTATGCATGCATGCATCCATCCATCCAAGTAATTACTTCTTATGTAACTCAAGACCCTTAATCACATCGCCACCTACCCACCCACCCGCCTACCCACTACGTTCTGACTGTCACGCGCAAGTAAGCCCCTTAAACATCGCCAACAACATCAAATTGAGATGCATAGTGTGTACGTACTACTATCGACGATAATCGCACAATATGCCCCCCTATCTACGGAGTAGGTGTCTAGCCCACCACGCGAAAACCGGAACCCAAAGGATAGAAAGAAAGAATGAATGAATGAATATGACTCATCCAGTATCAAGCCTCAATCATCACTTCATCACGAGGTATGTAGCTAATCACTCAATCAGCAAGTAAAATCCATACCAAAATCTTTCAAAGCCCACCCTCGGCCCGAGAGATCAAGTCCCAGTACTCTGTAAAAAGTCATCTCTACTAATCATAAATTCCCAGATCCTGGGAATAAAACCCAAAATGAGAAGGAAAAATAAAACCGGCAGAAAAAAAAATAGGAAAGAATTAGGTAAAAATCCCGACCCGACTACAAGGCTGAAGGCTGAAGGCTGAAGAAAAAAGAAAAAGATTTAATTTTAATTCCGAGTATCCGAGTGATTCATTCTTCACATGAGGTTTTCTCATTTCTGATTGATTAGTGGATATTAGGGGTGGTTTTGAACCATGGGTCAGATCACGGGGTTGGTGGTTTTGGTTTGCCGGTTCCGGCATATCCTTTGCCTTGTTGCTGCGTGTCGGTCGGAGGTTGGGAGTGCGAATCGCCGATATCCCGTTCTTCTGACACCCTTCGGGTAAGTGGGTTGGTTGGTTGTGCTGGGGAGATAGGGATTAGGAAATTACGGGATGGAGTTGGGTTATGTCCGATATACTTCAGTTAATATTATTCCAGTTATGGGGGTAAGTAGGTGAGTAGGTTTGCAGTGGTGTGTATTACCATGGGAGTAGAGAAGGTAGTGAGTGATTATTAATGCTTCTGTCAGTTTTGTCAGAAGTTAAGGTTGTGGTTAATATAGTTTCAAATCAAGATAGTGTTTCGAAAATGGGGACCCCGTAGGGATACGAGGACCACTGCTGCTGCTGTTGTTTGGGGATGGTTAGGTGATGGATGATAAATCTGGGGGAGAATTAGGTGAAGTGGTCGGGATATGAGGTCAACACTTTCTGCTTCGTAAGGTTTGTTGGATTTGCAGGGATCTGATGTCGTGACGTCAATCAGGATCAATCCAGACCTGGCTCTCTCTTTCTTCTATTGTGTGTTAATCATCATCGAGAGATAGTATCTGAGCGTGAATAGGAAAATGATATGTGTTTGTTCTAGAATCAACAGTCGTGGCGGATCAGACCGCCTGCATTATCATGATGATGGTGGTGGTGATGATGATGATGGAGATGTCAGTGTGGCCAATATGAATGTCAAGATCATTGTTTGCAAGGCCAAGTTGATACGAGCGAGTCAAGCAATGATGTGGACTCCTGTCATTGGACTCCCCGTCTGCACAGTCCTTTGCTGGAGCGAGGGTGTGGCAGTAAACAAAGTTCCGGTGTTGCTGTACAGGTAGGGACCAAGTATGGGAGCTGGCAGCCTGAAGCCATGACAGCGGTAGCGCCCTCCCGGTCGCCCCGAGGCAGTGGTTGCGGATGTGAAGAAAACGAGTCCAGAGAGGTGGTTGATGTGGTTAACATTCATTGTCCTTCCTGGATTGAGTAAGCTTGACTGATTAACTTAACCTTCACGAGCAAGCCTCGAGCAGTTAACTAGTTCAACTGCAGACAGGCTGAATCAGGCACTTGGTAGGAGATCTCCGTCAGGTCCCATCCCTCGTATATCTGTTTTGGGGGAGAGCTGGATGCCATGTCAGATTCTCTCTTTCTCTCTCCTCCCTTTTTTGCCCCACCGGCTGGATCCAGACATGGTTTTGAGGGAACACAGCGACATTCCTTGACACGCTGGGCGTTTTCATCGTGGACTGGTTGCTGAAACTGGATGGATCCAGACATTCGTTCTGTACGAGGGAATTGCGATCGTCTCATCTAAATCTGTTCATTACTATTATTTGGTTATTGAGGGAAGAGATTATTGTTCTCAGCTGTGTTCTCTTTTAAGGAAACAGACTCGATCATCAACTGATAGTATCACATGACCCACTAGCCACGATAGTTGCTGACTAGTCTGCTGCTCCCCACAAAGTCCCCATCGAGGCTGTGTAGATACTACTAGATAGATGTAAGGTTTCAGATAGACGACAGATTGACTGATAGCAAACCAAAACCAGCACGTTGATTATCTTCATGATAATCCAGCCCCCTCAACACGATTACGTACGATTTCCGCCCCCATACTTTCCCAACTAGCTGGACAACTCCGCGAAACACAGCCATCTCTAATACGTACTCAGCCAGCCAGGGGGTGATCATCAAGTACTACGGAGGCGGAGGCAGGCAGGCAAGCAGGGCGTCGCCAAGAGCAGGACACGTTTGTCGCTAGCGGTCAACCCTCACAGATGGAAATCAACACAAATAGCCCAACTCGGTAAGTTAGCTACCCAATTTTTGCGGTGATGCCCTTGATCCTCCCTACGCGATCAGGGATACTTGGCCAAGCCTGGCTTGGACGTGCGGCTCTCCGCACAGGCAGACAAAGCGCACACGCCTATCATATTGTGATGGGCAGGCAGACTTCCCCGGACTTCGACTAGTCGGCTTAGCAGGCAGATACAAAGTTGTTACTTGGACCTTGTAGGCACTGATCAATTAGAGGCGTGAAATGTGGCAGCCTGTGGGAACTTCATCGCCGAGTCCTGGCTGGCTTACGTGGGCTTTGCAAAGGCTGCCAGACAGAAAGAAAGGAAGCGAGATTATGCACGCGTACTCCATACAATACGCGATATCCAATCCATTCAGCGAATTCGGAGGTATCAAGGGAGTGAGCAAAAGCAGGCAAATGTAAGTAGGTAAGATAGGAAAGGAAGGAAGTAGGCATAACTCCGTACCCGTCGTCGTATTCGCTTGGCTAGTTAACCTCCCAAGGTACACGCGCCTCGGCGCTCGCGAATTATTGACCACCGCCCGGGATTACTGCTTCCGTGCACAGGTCAATCAATCCCTTTCCCCAATGTATTAGCATTAGCTAGTGCGGTGCGCGCACTTGGGTCAATGCTCTTGCCTGCCAAACGCATATGCTCGACGCCGTAAACTTTCTGGTTATCCCTCGGATCACAATCAGAGTGCATGGTGAATGCTGATTAGTATTCTGCGCGACCGGAATACGCGTCTACTTCCACGGTTGGTCACTTGGTATACATCTCGCTCAGGAACGTCGTTGTCCCCGAGGGTGGGGATGTGACTGGTGTCGTCGACTAGACCTATTGCAGTAGTGAGGCTGGCCAAGTTAGGGGACTCCTGGTTCTGCACCGCGAGCTTATGAATCGGGGATGCTGATTTCAAAGCGGACAGAAGTGTCATTACTACAGACTACATAGTGAGTAGGTATGACGAGCTGGCGCATTGACCCTAGGCGGCTCATTCAGAACCAGCTGGCCCCTTTGGTCCCGTGGAAATAGCAACCTTCACGGATGATGGGAGAAAGGGAGCACAGTTAGTAATCGGGGAGTCTGGCATGAGACGGAGCGATGACTGGGCATCTGCTGGAATTTTCTAGGCTTAGAAGCTCCCGTCAGCCGGAAATAACGGCGCGGAAAGATTGGTCATCCGACGCCCCGTCCAGGGTTTTTTTTATTTTTCATCCCAAATAATTTTATTTTTCTTTGCTGGGCTGGGCTGAGCGGTGATCGTCCACACGGAGTTAGCGGGCGGAGCCTGGCCGTGACTCATTTTTAGGAGTGATGATTGGGTCTAGCGAGGGGCGGTGAACTAACAGTTGCCTTTTCGAGCGAGGGAAATCGGCCCTGGTGGATCCGGCACCCTCCTTCCGATCCACGGATGGGCATCGATGGTTTCTGCCTCCGAAGGTCCGATTCCATATCCCTTCTAAACCCCGGTGCGTGAGAGAAAAAAAGGTAAAAAAAATAAACTAAGGTTAATAATGGAGATAGGATTAGAAAGACGGAGAAAACACTGAGTAACGAAAAAAAGAAATCAGCAGGAAAAAATCATCAGCCTAGAAAGTGGATATATCATATTAAATTGGTCCCTGTCTCCCGGTTGATCATTTTTTTCTTTCCCTACACAGGTTTACTCAAGTACATACACAGTACCTATTTCCTTCCATCCTCCACATACATACTACATACACACCCCATCACTTTAGGGTGACCACCTCAGACCGACTCTAGTACTGCTGTGCACCATCCTACATACGCACACAGGACATTACTCAAACCACATACCTCCAACACATCCGCTTTCCCCGCCACTACTGCTGCCTCATCCTGCCTGTTGTTGAACAGACAACCAGTGGAGACGCCTGAAGGAGCCAGGAACGGACGACGCATCGCTGGTCTGGTCGCGCCCATCCATTTTTTGCGCCGACATAGTGCAGAGAAACTATCTATTTTCCCATTTCCCATTTTTGACGCCGGAAACGAAAAAAAGCGGATCAAAGCGTAGTCGCGCCCCAAGATAAGGCGTCGTGATTTATTGATCCGCCTGCAGTCAACCTTGACTCACCGCCCCGCGATCTCTCCACCCGCTGATTGGCCCCCAGCCTGAGCGGCCGCCGGAAAAGGGAAGGCTGCCTGAGTCACCGCGCGGAGCGAACGAGTCACCTTTTGGCATTGAGCTCATAAGCACATCAACACGGTCCTCCCGGACACTTTTTTTGGCACCATGGCCTCTCGCTCCTCTTCTACTTCTACTTCTACTTCTTCTACCTCTCCCTCCCCCCTTTCGACCTCTGCTTCCACCATCACTCCTAGTTCCTACTTCACCTCTCTCGTGCGGAGACGCCAACAAAAGAAAATGAGCATCACTCAAACATACTACCTCGCCCACACCGCCCGCAAGAAGCTCACCCGGGAAGCTTCGCGGGCAGACCATGACCTCCGCCTCCTCGTTGGCCATGCCAACCTTCTGGATTCCCTCATGCTGGAATTGGCCGATGCCGAAAGAGAACAAGAACGTTGGTTCAACCAAACCGTCAGCGGAGTGACCAAGACCTCTTCGCAAGGTTCAGAATCCCGACACATCCAATGGGCAGAAACCGTGGTCGAAGACCCCGAGGAGGACTGGGATCCCGAAGACCTCTCCGACGCCGACTCCGATGTCAGCGACTCCGACTCCGACTATGATGAAGATGAATATGAAGATGAATCTCACATCTATACCCCCGTGCGTCGGCGGGCCCCGTCACCTGTCGCCATCATCACCGAAAAGGAAGTGGAGGAGGATTACGATTCCGACTCGGACTCGGACTTTGAATACGATGACGCGGAAAATTTGGAGGAATTGACCTTGACCCGCTCACCCTCCCGACAAACCCCTCCCGACTTACTGTCGGACTCGGATGGGGAATCAGAAGACGACACCATGCCCCCGTCGCCTCCCCAACCGACACTTGAAACATTCAACGAGAAGGAACCTCAAACCACAGAGATCCCCCTCTCCCCTACGGATCTCGACAATGGGTATTACGTCCCTGGCCAGGCACGCAGCACGATTATCGAGGCGTACTGATTGTGCCCTGCCAATTGACGACCACGTCAATGTACCATACGTGATACCCCTCATCTATTGTTGAATTGTTCTGGAACGGTTGATTTTGTTTTGGGCGAGTCGCCACTATCATAGCGGGTCCGGCGTTTTATTCTGCGACATGATAAAAGGAATTCTTTGGTTGGGCATTCTGTTTTGGAGACTACTGTTTTGCATTGTTCGAGATCGCATCCATCTACTTTTTTTGCATGCCCGAGCGCTTGGGCAGTGATTCTCTACTCTTTGATTTTTTCCTTTCTTGGATCGATATGGTCCCCACAGTTAGGCCGCTGGGATAGACGGTCGAGAACATTATTTTTTTGCTTGTCCTCTTCGGAGGCAAATATTAGATGAAACCCCATGATGAATGAATATCAAATTACAAGAAAGACCAACCAACCCCCCGTAATACTCCATAATAATACCAATAGATAAAGTAGATAGAGAGATATGCTCATCATCAACAACACCTTCCCGATGAGATTTGATCTTCACCGTAGATTAAAGACCAGCCCACATGGCCGCCAATAGCCGATTGATAGATGGTTGTTTAGTCCGTACCTGGTCTCCACTTTCTTGGAACGCGCGACTAGTCAGTCAAGGTAAGGCCTCTCGCCTGAAATGAAGAAGACATTGGGCGACGACTGTGATTGTGCAAGTCCGACACATCGCCGTCTCAACTCCGCTGGGCCAGAACCGGGATGGCAGTGCCGATCGCCCGTCCATCCAATCCACTCCTCAGCTACACTGTTTTTTTCCTCCCTTCTGCTATGTATCTATCTCCATCCAGACCCCGACTTGTCTACTAGTCATTGAGCACACCGCCCCGTGATGCATCACATGGGCGATCGATCCCGCCCGGCGGATCATCACTGCCGATCCTGACCTTCACAACTTTCATTATACTTACTTGCTTGCTTGGTGAGGGAAGGTTTCCGTGGTGTTCCTTAGAAAAAGTCTACTTTGTACTCTTTATCCCGTCCGTCCCTTGCCCGGAAGTTTCGGGTGACGGATGTTATTCACATCACAAGAGAATTGTCTGGGGCTTCTCCGATCATGTGAACTTTCTGGTAGAGTCTTTGCCGTTCTCTCCGAAAAATTTCTTTCCCCTCATGGCTAAACTAGACTAGACCCTGAGAAAAATAAAAAGAAAAAAAGAAAAGAAAATTAGAGTCGCCGTTGATGTGGGTCATTCAGAATCAGACTATTTATTCCCTTCTTACTCTAGATAGGAGAATTTTTTTCCCTCATGATGGGGCAAATGGTTAGTTTAATCCACGTTGCGAGGGGGAATACAGTAAGTTGGGCAGATATTTGTTTGGTATTATTAGATTTTTCTCCGTGATAGTAGTGATTTCCTTGTTGTCGCGATATTTAATTGACCATTCAGGAGGGTTGTGTATAGAATGTTTTGCCGGAGGGAGGAGGGGAGGAGTAAAAGAGAGGGGTAGTTTAGTAGCTGGTGGTGTTGTCTGATAGCAAATACTACTACTGGCTTGCCAGATGCTTGTCCTCTTGTGTGCCAATGACTCTGTCCCGTGGATGCATTAGTCAAACCAGCATAGTGTCATACTGCCATACTGTCCAAGTAACAAAGTAACTAACTAGTCAGTTATAACATCATTGAGTAAACCCCCTCTCACCGCCCTGCCCCGCTTGGAGGATCTCCTCTCCTTTCCGGCTTTTGTGCTGCTTCTCATTCCTCTTCCGGCTTCCGCTCCGAGTGACCATCCCACTTCTCCATTCTCCATCCTGCTTGCTTCCATCCTCTCACTGACTGAGCTGCTATTATCCATCCATCTATCCTTCTACCTGCATCCACCCGATCCTCCCTCGCCAGTCCTCCCGTTCGAGCTCACCATCCAAGCATAATCTGCCCGGGGAGCTCCATCCTGATAAGCCCCGATACTTTGTACCGCCAAACCATGGTCTGCGTCTTGCGCATCGTACCACTGGCAGAACGTCTGGAGCTTCACGGTGGCTGAGCAACTCTTAACTTTAACTTTGTTATTCTCCGCTTGTCAGCCTGTATTCTTTGCAACCAGGCTACATCATCATACAACATAATCTCCGATAAGAAGTACCACCACCACCACAACCCCTCTTCCACCCCCTCACTCCCAAACCCACCCGGGCGCATTTCCTTCGTCATGTCATTTCCTTCACTGGACGGCAACGAGCCACTCCCTGGCCGTCCCAGAACCGCTTCTACCACGCGAGCTTCACGTGGAGACTCTAGGAGGAAATCCATTTCATTCAATATCGGCGGTTCCGAATCCCTGCCTCCCAGTCGCTCGGCAAGTGTCTCGGATCGCAGGCGTTCGCCTTCACAGGTGCCTACGGAGAGGGAGGCTAGACCTGCTACTGCTGCTGTTAGCCGTGGTCCATCCCCTCCTCCGCCCAAGTAAGTGCTGATACGTACTGGTCCTGGTTGTAAATATCGCTAATACGGTGGCTGCTTAGGACCTACGAACGAGGCGTCTCCTTCGATACCTTTGATAATCCCGACGCGGCAGATTTCTCCTTGACACTGAACTACAAACACAAAGGGTACCAGAGTACGCGGCGCAGTCGGACATTTCTCTGCGGCACAGATCAGAACGATTATTCTGACTTCGCGCTCGAGTGGCTCATCGATGAGCTGGTGGATGATGGCGACGAGATCGTCTGTCTCCGTGCGGTGGAAAAGGACTCCAGTATTGCGAGTGACGCTGCAGTCGAGGCGGGAAAATACCGGAAGGAAGCAGAGAAGTTGTTCGAACAAGTGATTCAGAAGAACACCCAGAATGAGAAAGCGATCAGCTTGGTTCTGGAGTTGGCTGTCGGCAAGGTCCAGGACATTATACAACGCATGATCAGGATCTACGAACCCGCTATCCTCATTGTGGGCACGAGGGGCCGTAATCTAGGTGGCATGCAAGGATTGCTGCCAGGCTCCGTCTCGAAGTACTGCTTACAGCAATCGCCGATTCCTGTTATTGTGGTGCGACCTACCACCAAGAGGGAGAAGAAGAAGAAGAAGCGTCTCGCAGACCCCTCCCGGCGCAACTACAATAATATACTGGAAATGAGTGAGCGGCGAGGAAGTCACATCTTCGATAGAAGCTCCAGCAGAGACAGCAGTGTGTCAAAGCTGCCTGACGAGGAGGCTGCTGTGGCTGCTGCTCTCGGTCTGCCTTCAACTTACACTCACTCACGGAGCTCGCTCTCCACGTCGGAGCGAAGCAGCGTCAGTCATGACGAGTCTCCCTCGCCCCTGGGCTCACCTGATGCTGCTTCCCGAAGCCCTCTTGGCGGGAGCGTGGAGAACTCCGAGATCGACACCGGGTCAGATGATGAGCCTACCGTATCGCACGTGGAGAATCACAGCGACGGGACTTTGTCACCAAAACAGGCGTCTGAGACGCAAGAGGTCCCAGGATTGTCTGAGGTCGATGCAGGCGCATTCACGTCCAGCATGAATGTCCCACTTATCGTAACCGAAGACTCTCCTCCAGGCGGCACAGAAAAGCAAAACGATTGAGCGAGAAGAGCCATACCGAACACCAACCTGGTAACAATTATTTTGGGTCGTTGCGCCCATCAACCAACACACACTCAGAGATCACATGTCTGAAGATAACAGGCAATTGAGCCCTTCCTTGCACGTGAGACTGTCCGACAGCTGCCACCTGAGAATACTCCTGGGTTCTATCACAGCATGATGGGCCGATGCTCACTTAACAAAGGGCATATCCAAGGAAGCAACCTGCTTCAAGCAGCGTGGATGCTGCTAGGGGCGACACTATGATGGACCCCGAATGATCTTTCAACTCACATACATATTTCATCTTGTCCACTTAGCGAGTTGCCGAGTCAATAGAGCGCAAGCACGCCAGTGCACACACACACATAGATCAAAACTACCTGATCATAATCAACAATGTAAACTACCTAAATGAGCTACGTCCATGCATGCATCGTTCCACTTGTCAAAAAGAGCTTCAACTATCAATATATGTTGTTCATTCCTACTACAAAAACAACACTAGTATCTCACTCAACCATAACCCTTCCCTATCTCCATCTCCTCGTCAAACCAAATCAAAATTAAACTAAGCTTATTTACTAAGAAATCAGATTACCACTCACTCACTCACTCATAGTCCTTTGCCTCGAAGACATACATACACACACGCACACGCATTCATTCCTATAAACAATATCACTATCGATAAAGCCCAGAGACATACATCGTTATGTTTACTACACATTCCTCTCCTCCGTGGTTCTTGATGTGAACCTACCTACAATGACAGGTAAAGCGAACGAATGTAGGGGTTGGTGATGGGAATGATGAGGTTAAAATTGGGCAGTAGCCAATATGAGAGCGATGAAGACTAGCACAGAAACCACTACAACTACTACTTCTCTCATCTAAGTTATCAAAGCAAGATGTTATTATATTAAAACAATGAAGAGTGGGGCGGGGGAGGGGGCCTTAAGTATGCCGATGATCCGGATGTCGACAAGAAAATAAGGTAAGTAGTTGGGAAAAAGGATATTGAGAGGGAAAATAATGGAATAAGGACCAAAAATGGAAGAATAATGAAGAAAAACAAATAAGAAGAAACTTTTCTAACGAGATTTTGTCTAAGAAAGTAGAAAGAAAAGGAAGAAGAGCAACTGCAGGGACACTGCAAGCTATCGCCAGCAACACACCGAAACCCAGTGTAGATGCATCAAATGCAGAAAGTGAAAGAAAGAAAGAGGCAAAAAGAAAAAAACAACGTGACTACTAAAACTTGTCTCTCGCATGACATAAGTAAAAACGTCGTGGCTAGCCTGCAAGTCCCGCCCCGGTGGTCGACGCTGGTTCTCTGCTTCTTTTTTAATCGAGAAACTGCAGCGTCGTTTCGGAGAGGAGAAACCGTCAAAGCTCTCCGGGTATTGAAAATGCAAGGAAAAAAGAAAGCAAGAAAAAGGACACATAGAGCAATACATAATATGATAGCAATAATGGAAAAAGAGGATGGTCAAAAGCAAGGGCATAGCAAAGGTCACCATGGACACTCCTGCGAACCAAACCTATCTCGCTAGATTCAAGAAACCCCCACCTCCGTTATGGGTCGTAGCAACAGAATTGTACAAGAGAATGTCGGAAGTCCCCTCTATTTCCACGGGAATAATATGAGCGACCGATCTTTTTGGTTTTCGCCGAAATCATGGACGAGAAGATTAGGGAGGAATGTTCATTTCAAATCACATGACGGACATGGTCGTGACTAGGTGTCAAAAAAGAAGTGAGGAATTTTCCAGAAGAACGGAATCATTTTTCATTATCATTGCGACAGAATCTATGAGGCCTCCTCACCGTCCTTGGACGGGGTCTTGGAAGGCCGGCGCTCGACCGCGGGTTGCGACTTGGTCAGCAGAGGGGAGGTAGGGTTGGAGGGAGGGGAAGTGGCCATGTTGTCACGGTCTTCCAAGCTTGCCAAAGCACTAGAAAGATATTAGCATCATCATGAAATAACAACTTCTGGGCTCACGAACCTAAAGGCATTGATTGAGGACGCGGCCTCCTTGTCTTCCTTCTTGCCGGTAGGAGTGCCCGTGCGGCTGCTAGCAGCACTGTCATCACTGCCACGAACCAAGTTGCCACCAGGGCCCAGATTCTTCCGTCCGCTGTTGCTGCGGGAGCCCAGCATGCTGGAGGGGCCGAAAGACATCGGCTGGTTGGTTTGACGAGAGGTGCGAAGGCGGCGGAGATCGTCACTGCCGACCTTGCTAGACGCGAAGTCTTGCGGGGGAGCCTGGTTACCATATCCGCTGTAACTGCGGGCATCGCCACGACCCAAGCCGGGGCGGCTACCACGGTTGGCCTGTTGGCGAAGACGCTCCATCTCGGCTTCCTGTTGGGCACGAGCAGCCTGGTAGAATAGTCAGTAAGGGAACAACCTACACATATGGAAGACCAAATACGTACCTCTTCACGGATCTGTTGGATCGTCTTGGGACCCTTGTCAGCATCCTTGGACTGCCAGCGAGCGGAACGCAGATCCACGATATCCTAATGCGAGTGTTAGCAGATGTGTTGCCAGCCAGTATGTCAGCGGTAACGGGGAACTTACCATCAGCATGAAGCGCAGACGGCTGGGCAGGCCAGGAGTCTGGATCATCAGACCGATCCGGTGGAAGTAGGCGTTCATGAAGGCGTGGCCCTTCTCAGAGGCATCGAGACTGGCACCAATGGTGCGCAGCAGACTGGTCAAACTCTCAACCTCGGCCTCATCGGGCATGCCTTCGTAGTCGACAAGCTTCTTCACACACTCGTGCATGATACGCTCCGTCAACATACCCAACTTGTACAGCTCACCAATGAACTTGACGAGACCCAGACCACGACGCTTAGCGGCGGCAGCCTTGTAGTATTCGTCAGACATCATGGCGGCCTCCTCGGTCTCACCCTCCGGCTTAGGGGGCAGGTTGACCTTCCAACCACGCTCGAACTCCTCCTGACAACGGTTGAGGAGGTACTTGCGGAACAAGCTACCACCAGCGACAACGTTGCCATTCTTGTCATGGATGTTCTCATCCTTGATCTCAGCACTCATACTCTCAAGCATGCGCTTACAGAACTTGGCATAGATAGAAGCCCAGTGAGCCTCGTCGGTAGCCTTCTCGAAGGTAAGCTGGATGACCTGGCGCAGGGTACGTCCATCGGTCTCGTCCTTGGACTGAGAGACGATTTCCAAGAGTTGGCCGGAAATACGGTCGAAGTTCTCGGGAGTCATCTTGTTCAGAGCAGCCTTGACCTTGCGCTGCACCATATCCGGAGGCATGTAAGCGGCGCCGGCAGGAGTAGGCCCAGCAGCAGCAGCAGCAGGGGCTTGGCCAATGCTGCGAGGCTTCCAACCAGTAGAAGACACCTGCAGAGCCTTGACTTCCATTCCAGCAGTAAGAGGCATGGACTTGGCCATTTCCTCCTCCTTCTTGGCGTTCTGCTTATCACGCTTGCTGCCAGTCCGCGTACCCGAGCGGTTGCTGGAGCCAACACGAGGAGACGAGGGCATACCGGGGTGCATGGCGCTCGCAGAGTTGGTGCGGCTGAGACCAGGAGCACCAATGCCGAGACCGGGACGTCCGAAGTTGCCGAAGGGGTTGCCCATGGAAGAAGTGCGTGCGGCGTTCGACATAGCGAAGCGCTCGGCAGAAGTGGTACCAGGAGGCAAGTTGGAGCGGCTGGGGGCCTGGCCGAAGTTGCCCATCTGGAAGGGGGCGGCACCAGGGCGCGAAGAATTGCGGCCACCCATCATGGGCGTCCGGGCGGACTGAGGGCGAGAGGAATCGCTATCACCGACGGTCTCACGCACGCGCGCATCCCAGTCAATGGAAGGCTTCTCCTTGAAGACACTCTGGAACTGCAGCAAGAACTCCTTGTTGTAGTGGAACTTGCGATCGGCAGGGGCACTTGCGTTCAGCGCAGGGTTCGGGGAGGCGATAGAATCAGGATAAGTAATCTTGCTGAGATCATCGACGAACCGAGCAGAGTGCAGAGCCTTCATGGCTGCACTAGGCTGAGGAGGCTCAACGGCCTTGGTGGTCTCCAGCTTAAGGGCAGCCGGCTTCTCGCGCTTGTTGGCACTGGCGGGCTTCGCGGGAGGTCCCATTGACATGTCAGAAGCGGGAGTAGCGGCACCGCTGTCTCCAGGAGTGCTGGCCTCGGTAGCCGGGAAACCACCCTTCTTGAGAGAAGCAAAGAGATCCTTGTCCTTGGACTCCTCTTCCCGCTTCTTAGCACGAGCCTCTTCCAGGGCCTCGGCTTCACGCTCAGCGTTCTTCATGTTGGCCTCGTAAGCCTCGAGCTCCTCCTTCTCCTTGCGCTCCTTCTCTTCCTTCTCAGCCTTCTTCTTGGCGTAGTAGGCCTCTTCAGCAGCACGCTCCTTAGCCTCAATCTCGGCCATCTCGCGTTCGATGGCATCGTAGTCGATATCGTCATCGTCAGCAGGGGCAGGGGCAGGGGCAGGCTTGGAAGGCTCCTCAGCCTTGGTCTCGGCGGGCTTGTCCTTCAAGCTCAGGTCCTCAAGACCCTTGCGAGCCGCTTCTTCATCCGCAGCCTTCTTCTGTGCAGCTTCCTCCTCTTCCTTCTTCTTTTGAGCCGCATCCTCTTCGGCCTTCTTGCGCGCGGCCTCTTCCTCTTCCTCCTTCTTCTTCTGGGCCGCTTCTTCTTCCGCCTTGCGACGCTCAGCCTCCTCCTTCTCGATTCTGTCCTGCTCGATCTTCTGGTGCACCGCGTCTCTCAACTCCTTCTTCTTTTCCTCATCCGTCTTAGTGGACTTGGAATCGGTGCGAGTGTGGTCGGCACTGCTGCCGGTACGCGGGGGAGGAGTCGAGGTCGGGGTGGCAATCTTGACAGGCGAAGGAGTGACACGGGCCGGAGAGGCCGGGGCCTTCTCGAAGGTCTTCACGGCGCCACTGCCAGGATCCTTGATGACAACGGCATTCTTCTTGGCCGTGGGGATGACGAAAGAGGACTTTTGAGGGGCGGGGCTGTTGGAGGAACGGCTGGCATTGTGGGCATGAGCGGGGCCAGGAGCGCCAGCCGGGGGCTGACCTTGACCCAAGCTCGAGCCGGGCCGATCGTTCGAATGGGACGGGCTACGAGACAGAGCTGTGGCCTGTGCGACGGGCTGCACCGGGTACTGGTTCTGCATGTACGGGGCCTGAGGGTTGTAAGGAATGCCCGGGCGAGGCTGCGGCGACGGGGGCATGTATGGCACACCGCTCACGTTGTAACCAGGGTAGAAGCCGTAGTTCGGGTCGAAGGTGGGATATCCCTGCTTTGATTTCATCATGGTTAGATAGCGTTCAAAATGGCCACTTTCTGGCGCCAGATTCGGAGGCAAAGTTATGTGGGGGCTATGGGTAGCAGAAGAACGTGGGGGGACCGGGGCACGGGATGGTCCTTTCTTGCGGTTCAGGGCGCCACCACGGCGTGCAGGCTTTTGCAAGGGATGGGGTCTCACAGGTTGAGGGGGCATGGGTTGGCCATAGTAGGGCTGAGGCGCCATCTGGGGATGGGCCATCGGGACCTGGTTCATCTGAGGAGTGGCCGGGTGCGCATTGGCCAGCGCGGGACTGCGACTCGCCTGGTGAGGAGAGTTGGGGAAGGGCATCGGGCGCGGCTGGTTAGGGAACTGAGGGGCCATGTTGGGACCACCACGGGGTTGATTGGGGGTCGAACGGAAGCTGGCGTTAGGCGAGTAGGGGATCTGTCCCTGGTAGCTCGACTGCGAGAATCCACGTCCACGTCCGCCCTGGTGGTGGTAGCCGCCGCGACCGCCGGGACCGCCGCCCATGTGGTTGCTCATGTCGCTGTGGGTCGACTGGGAGGATTCGCGACGCAGATGGGTCGACTGAGCGCCAGGACCAAGGGGTGCCTGAGGAGCCGGGCGCATCTGTTGCTAGCGCATAATTGTTAGTCACAACATTTCACAGGGTAGGTATGCAGTCGGAATGCCAAGCAAAAGAGATGTGATCCGCAAGATTTGCCCCATTCCTAGCTAGGGAATTCCACCCGATCTGATCTTCTTTTCTTCCACTCAACGAGAAACTTTTTTTTTCCTTGGATGTGGGAAAGATGGTGAAAACCAAAAGGGAGAGATAAATGGGCTCGTAGAAAGGATAGACAAGAAGATCGCCACTTACGTTGTCACCAGAGTCACCGAAGCTGCCAAAGTTCGGGACGTTGCCCTGAGACTGATACGACGACGGCGGTGGCCGGCCACCGCTCGAGGCGGGCTGCGGGATGGGAGAAGGCGAAGTCTGGGGAGAAGTCACGCGAGGGTTCATGGGCGGAGTAACACCGAGACCGGACTGAGGCTGGTTAGCCAGGACAGCGGGATTGCCCATGTTGGGAGATGACTGCTGGTTGGCAGCGAAGCCAAACTGCAGACTGTTCGGACGACCGGTTTGGCCACCGTTGGGGATGTATCCCGAGGTGCCAGCGGAAGTGATAGTCACGGAAGGCTTTCTAGTGTGGTCGCCCTGGGAGGCCGGGGCCGGGGCGCCATTGACGATGGTGACGCCGGGGGTTTGGGATTGCTGCATGGGTTTGCCGCTCACAGGAGATGCTGTAGTCGACTTCCCATGTTGCGACTGGCCGCCCACGGTGACGGGAGCGGCGGTCGAGTCCGTCGCGGACTTCTTGGTGGCGTTGGCGTAGGAACGAGGAGCCGTCGTCGAGGTAGACGAGGGCGTAGGAACCGGCGCCTGAGGCGAAGATTTCCCACCCACTGAAGGAGAGGAAGTGTGTGCGGAGGAGGCGGCCTGAGTCGAGGTGCTCTGTCCTTGAGGTTGAAGGCCTGACTTGGGAGGGATCGAGCTCATTAGACAGGTGATACGCGAAGAAGGTTCAAGCGCTGATAGTTGAGTTTAAGATGGGGGAGGAGAGGGTGTAAGAGAGGACGGAAAAGCTGTTTTTGACAAGAAGACGATTGCGTTAGAAAGGCGTGAGGCTTTTCGGAGGGGGGAGCAAGGGTGATGTCAAGGGTGTGTGTTACCGCAGTCAAGAGGAACACGCTCTAGAACCGCACATCCAAAGATTCCCACACTAAACGGGAAAGGAATCGAAGAGGGGGGTGATTGGGTCGTCTGCGAAAAGACGAACGAGATGGGGAGGGGAGGGGGGGAAGGAAGAAGTGAAGACCACAGAACAAGAAAGATATCACGTCGTGGTCAACGACGATGGGTCTGGGGAAAGAAAAAGAGGAAAAAGGGAGAAGAGGGAAAAAAAAGAGGGGGGAGGAAAAAAGGCGAGAAGTTTGGAGGGAAAAGATTTCGGTTCCCTATTTTTTCCTTTTGGTGTTTGACCGGTAAAAGTTGGTGGTGGTGGTGGTGGTGGTTTTTTTCCTTTTTATTTTTTTTTCTTCTCTGGTGGTGCTTTTCTTTCCCTTCTCACTTTTTTTTAAAAAAAATTACCGTTCGGGTTTAGGCGTAAGGACACCCGCCAGAACCACACCAAACGGGTTGTAACTTGTAAGTGACTACTCGGAACAACCCACACAACAACACACAGCAACAAAAAGAGTAGGTGTGGGCTAGAACCACGTCAATAATTTCCCAGCTTTTACAGACCCTAGTCAGAATGAAAAGGAATGTGCGTCTAACAGAAAAGATGAATCACCCCATTGTGATTTGAGTCAGACTTGGACTTAGTGACTGCGCCATCTGATAGTCATTTTTGGCCCTACACAATACACCAGAGGTACATCTTGACGCGGAATCTCCGCTCCATCGGGTCAAGGCGGCGACGGCCACCGGAGCCAAGGATGTCACTAGGCCAAGAGTGGTATCATTGGGGGTAAATAACCATTAACCAACCCTCTCTCATTGAACATTACTGACTAACGGACTAGTAGTACTGTGTAGTTAACTAGTCTAGTAAGTAAGTGACCAAGATCTGGTCGCTCAGGCTCGCACTGGCGCTTCCTGGTTCAACCTTGGGACTGACACCCACAGAGTAAGTAACATTGTCCGTGGCGAGTCGCTATCCTAAGCGCTTATATTACCCAGTAAAATCATATGTTGGATGAGAAATGATGTGTTGGATCGGAAAAGGCATCGCAAATTCTTTCTCTTCTTCTGCCTACTATCCATCTTCAATGCTCATCATCATAAATAGTTAGTAGTGAATGGGTGAGCCAGAGCAATGACGCTGGATGCTATCATTTTGACACCTTAGGCACACAGTAGGTTTTGGCGTTTGCCACACAAAGCAAGCAGCTTACTTTCCAATACCGTATGATACGGTCATGGGAATCATTCGGCAGCACCACCACACCTTAACTTACTGCTGCTTCATTGCTTGTGTTACTTGCACAACTTCTTCAGCTGATGGATTATCCCCAAGCTGAACGATATCTTTCACACTTTTAAAAGAAGAATATGGCTTAGGCACGATTTCCTTACTCAAGATTAAGCATAAAAGGGAAGAAACATGAACGGAAGAACTGAATAATAAAAATAGAAGACGGAAGGGTATATATCACAAAACCGATCTTCCCTTCACAACGCCCGAGCACCCAACCATGCACCCCCGATCGCCCGGTCAACAAACCAAAACCACGTTAAGCCCGATTTCCCAGCATTCCAAGCAGATACCGACATGCATCCAGCCTACCACACACCGGCGAAATCCCATCCATCCATCCATCCCTATCGATAACTAACTACTAAGCAAGAACAGACAGGCAGACACAGACCAGATAGACACCGCAGGTTTATTAATAGAAAGTAATCTTTATTTTCTTTTTTTTAAGACCCATTAATACTTCGTTGGGGATTTGTGCGATCTCGCCTCATCCCGGCTATGCAGAAGAGTTAAGGCCGTGTTGTGTTTTTTTTTTCTTCCCTTTTTAATTCCTCACATGCTTGGCTGACTGACATCGGCCAGCCGGCCGACAATACTAATACTAGCCAACTAGTACTAGTAGTAATCCACTGCCTATTCCATCTTTCCTGCCTTGATTGGGCCGACGCTATTGACTGCCAGCATGTACTTAAACGAAGAGTAACTAGACAAGACAAACTGCCTTGGTTATGGATAGATACCGGTGAATGAAATATCCAGCCATCTCTTCGTAAAATCATTCCCATTCTTCTGTCCATCCCCCCAGATCACATATATTCACCCATAATTTCATTCTTCCTTTCCTTCTTTTCCCTCTTGTTGTTCACCTTTCCCATTATTGAACCCCTCCTTCCACACCATATAACCCCCAGCTGACACTATCACCCCCCGCACAGTGTTCAACACCGGAGCCGCCGCATACCCATTCATCGCCGCGCTTTGCAAACACGCCCGGACACTTCGTGCGACAGGATTTCCCAGGTAGGATTGGCTCCATGCTGCCAACGACCCTATAAGCAATGTATCAAGTGATCGGGGTCAGTAAGTTGGGTACTAACTAAAGTAGAGTAACTCCGTTCCTAGAACCTCGAAGAGCGGTGAATAGTATGTAGTAAAGCAGCAGACATATAGCAATATCACCCCGGAGTTGCTGTGGTATAATCAGTTGCATTGTAGACATACCTGCCCATGGCCCCAACCGACCATATCCCACCAGGTTAAGCAACCCTCCCGGGTAGACAATACCCACGATGCTAAAAATTGTCTGGTAGGGATGTTTCACAACATAGTCTTTTGTCGCATTCCCCGCTCGGGCGATTTGCGGCTTCGCAGCATCCACGTAGGAACCGGTCCGGTTGGCGAGTTGAGTCAGATTCAGATTCAGATCCACGTTCGTCAAATTCAGACCCGTAAGATTCAGACTGGATGTATCGGGGAGATGTCCTGCTACTTGTTGGAGGCGTTGGATGGCTGTCTGCGTGGTGTTAAATACAGATCCCAGCCCCATGAAGTTGCCTGTCATTGCTGCGGAGGTGAGCGCTAAGAGATGGACGAGGGTGAATAGGAAGGTGGTAAGTTGCATGTTCAAAGTGTGATGGCGCTGCATTCAACGGTGGTGGTGCTTGCGGGGATCGTTGGTGGTTTTTCCTGAGCCTTGAGGGAGGGGTAGATAAGAGTTGTTATTAGTAGCCAGCTGCGACGCAAGGCTGTCGGTATCTACGTGGTGGTGTTGGTTCGGTTGGGCTTTTCTGTACAGTGACAGGGGGCTCGTGCAGAGAGGCTGCGGCAAGGCGCATTTACTTCGCATACGTCGCTGCTACTTCTGTTTCAGCTGGATTGCGGCTGCTATTGCTTGAAAAGACATCCTGCCCTATCAATCTTGCTTTTTCATTGAGAAAGAGTGCTAGTCTCATGCAAGAGAACTGTCTGCTTGGTCTAGATATTCAGTGAGCCCGACTTCTCGCGCCCTCGTTCCCATGGTCTACACCCGAGGATCCAGCTTGCTCCCCACCTGCAAACCAACCAGAGGCCCAGTTGCCGCTGCTTGTGCGGCCATGCGCATCGGACGAGCGTTCCTGAGTATCCTCATGCTCCACATGAGTAAAAGAGTTCTCGCTGCGGTTCTTTCGCAGCGGTGCACCACCGTACGCCAGGTCATCCACCTCTGCGCCTGCACTGTGCAGGTCGCGCTCCTCCTTGGCCAGAGCGCTACGTAGTACTTCCAACATGTCTCTTTGGCTCGAGATATACTTGGCCTTATCCGCACGGGACATGGACGCGACCTCCCGTGGCAGTAGTGTTCCGCTGGCAGACAGCTCCTCTCCTCGTGCTTCAGCACTCTTGCCAGATGCAACTGAAGCGACCGCAGAGCCGATTGCAGAGAGCCAGTCGTTGCCTGTAGCTGGGGCAGTGCCTCCAGCGGCAGTTGGAATATTGAACCGGGACAAGAGCGACTGCGCATAGGCAGCCGGGCCAGTCGGGGGCGGAGGAGATGCGGGATGTTGGGCCGGCAAGCCCAGAATATTTTCCCGAACGTAGTCTAGGGCTTGGTAGAAATACTGAAGTCCTAGAGCCTTGGCACGTTCATGGCTGCGGCCAATGAATTCCTCAATTTCACGCTCGTGGTGCTCTAGGAAGGGGTCGACATATTCCTGATATAAACTCCGAGCTCCCTGCGTTTGGGGGAGAACAAGATAGGAGAAGAAAAAGAGTCGGAACCAGCTATAGAACGGGAACCTGCAACAACCTGTCAGCAGACAACTTTAAGCATACCCTGATATTGTCTCGTGGCCGTACCATCCCAGAATGAAGATCGTCCATGACTCCGCCATCAGCACGGCTGACAGAACGACCCAATACATCAGCCATGGTGCCAGCTGGGAAGGGTCGCCAGTCCGGAGGGCTTTGTAGGAAGCAAATATAGGAAGCAGGATCGTGATGATTGAGCTAAATGCATAACCTTGTTAGCATATGCATAGCGTATGAGAAAGTGCAGAGAACAGCTCATAGGGCCGGGGTGTCCGGGGTCGACCGGCATCGCCGGGACTCGATGACGAAAGACAGCAGGTGGTACTTACGACAGAAGGTCCGCAATAATACCGAACATGATGGGCGATTGTAAACAGTTCGATCCGTTTGCTGAACTGAGTTCCTTTGGAGAGAAGGGTGCTAGGAGGGGGAAAAGAATTTATCGGTAAGCTGAGCTGCTGCTGGATTGCGGGGCAGAAGCTTCACGCGACCAACGGACCGATACAAAGGAGAGCGGCCAGCCGCAAGAAAAGTCTAATACTTGAAGAATCTTAGCGGATTGGCCTGCAGTTTCCAGGAGGGAGGATAAGGTGGTAGTAAAGAAGGAATGGAAGTAAAATTCGGGGAGGAAAAAGGCCCAAGACGGAGCGTGGCTGCCTTGAGAAACTGGGGCCAAGCCACGATGATCCATCGAGCCCTACAGTGGTACCTACCGCATTAGGCAAGTACCGGTGCGGATGCCTTAACTCAGCCGCGTGGCTCAGGCGACCGAGCTCTCTTCTTTGGGACTAGTTCCATCCTAAGGGCAGCCTGCCCGCCTTGCCGTTTCGGGAAATACCGCGGTCTTGACGTCATGAACATCATTATCTACATAATATGGTACAGTTCTATCCAGCATTTTATTACTTATGAAAAATAACTTGAGTGAATAGGACATCTTCAAGGCAAAATCAGCAACTTCAATTTGACTCCTCCTTTAGGAGTTGTCTTTCGGATGGAGAGTAGTACTAGTACTAATACTAGTACTAATATATATATGCTGCTACCATGATGTAGTAAATGTGATGATGATGTTCCATACAGCTTTCACGATGGGGGTAGTAGTGCTTTGGAACTGAAGAGGAAAACCATTGTAACAAGCCCCAATGAAGAACTAATCATATTACCCATCTACTAAAAGCCTACTTTAGCATTGAATGATAATACAATGCCATCCTTCACTGCCAGAGCGGAGGGCTCTCCCTTAGCATCACAAAGGCGGTGGGGCTGAACTGCCGGTCATGTTGTCGCATGACCTCAGTGCCCAACAGTCGCCCTGTCTTCTGGACTCGTCAGAACAACCTCGCCCTACGCTTTGGAGCCAATTCTGCTCATCGAATTCAGACCCTGCTACTAGTTGTCATTGGAATCAGACAATCTCACCGAAAACTTGTGATTGTATATCAGTAGCACTCGCCGCCTGATCCTGCTCGCCTGTCGCACGAGACTATCCTTCCCCTCATATAGGTGGCGGCAGCTCACTTGCCTGACGCCGAGTTGAAGAATACCCCTACTACACCAATACCCCCTTCCTACCTGCATCCTCTGTTCCTCAGAAACGTCGCAATGTGTATCGCGCTATTATCCACCGCACATCCTTCCTATCCCTTGATCATCGTCAACAACAGGGATGTACGCGACAATTATTCAAACCACATGCTCGGATCCGTCCAAAACTAACGACGTCTAGGAATACATACGTCGACCGACATCTCCCGCTGACTGGTGGCCTTCACCAGAGTCCAATATCTTAGGTGGCCGTGATCTAGCACGAGAGCCACATGGAACATGGATGGGGGTGACCAGAGAAGGCAAAGTGGCAGTATTGACCAACTACCGCGAAAATACATCAGAACAAGCCATTGGGGCGAAGAGCCGGGGAGCCATTGTATGTAGCTGGCTTGGTGCGCCTTCTGACGAGAAGCGGTCAACCCGGGAATATGTGCAGGATATGGTTGCGAGTCCCACCGCCAGGAATGTCGGTGGGTTCAGCCTGCTCTGTGGATACATCAATGAGCCCCTGGCAATCGTCTCCAATCGCTCATCCACCATGGATCAAATTGCATGGGTCGCCACGAAATCGGGCCAGACGTTGGGCCTCAGTAACACAGTCTTCGAGGATCGCACATGGCCTAAGATCCTTGACGGCGAAAGACTAATGAATGAAGCCATTGCTACGCACGTGCAGGCTGGGGAGGACGAAGATGCTCTTATTACCCGATTCCTTGATATGCTGAGCACCAATACCCTCCCGAAGCTCTCAGAAGATGCGACTGCGGAGGACTACCTTCCGTATTTTCGGAAGAGCATCTTTATTCCTGTCCTGGGTGCTCACGAGAAACCTCCCAAGCCGGCAGGCACAGTATCTCCTGCGTGTGCTGATAGCACGCATGCGAATGGTGCTGCGGGCGGGGGGCACCATGCAATGGATCTGTCATTCCTGCATGGGCCTTATGGAACTCAACAACAAACGGTAGTCCTGGTAAGTGACGATGGACGTGTGCGGTATTTTGAACGCACACTATATGACAACGACGCAAACGTGATCCCCATCGGTCAGGGTGATCGATCATTCGAATTTCATGTCGGTCAACACAGTAATGAAACCGACAGAATCTCATGAGTCGCCGATGGTATGTCCTGGGGTGCTCCGAACAGTATCCATAGCAATCTAATTCTCCGCTCACGGCCTTCCAATCGGCCTCGGTGATTGTGGCTATGTAAATATTTATAACGGCGTGCAATATAAAAAAGCCCTAAAATAGTAAACCAAGGTCAATAGCTCCGGGAAAGTCGATTGCGATATGGAGTGAATTAATAGTAAGCCTCCTAGAAGCCAGTAGAAGCCGGCGATTGCCACGATCAATATTTAGCCGGCCGAAAGTGACATGCCATGTTTGCTTCTAGAGTTATTCCAGGTGGAACTAACATCGAGGAATCCTGAAGTCCTGGCAGATTAGGAGGCAATTCATATTAATGGCTCAAGGGGATTATTGTACTATTGATTTTTTTTTTAGCCTGCCTCGGGGTTAATTTCAGCACGTGTTTCTCAGGAGTCGCTGTCACCTCCGTGTCCTGAACAACCTCTCCCGCTCACTCCCCTCGCAATAATGCCCTCATTATTGCCCCCAATTTGCAAGACTCTGCATCCCCCACAGCAGCCAGATGGTATCTCGCTAGAAGAAAGCATGAGATGTCAATAGGTCGACTGAGGACGGCATGATTTCCACCGACGGTCCCAGTGGGTCTCCCAAATTCTTGTCTCACCGTTGGATACAGACGGGTCGGCCAGAAATTACCATTGAAGAAACCAGGCTGGACAGGAGGGCACAAAAGTGATCAATCAATCTGCAAGCCGATATGAATGCTAATAGACTAACGGTATTCTTTGTCTTCGGGCCTATTGACCAGTTCCGTGCTCCCACCGGCCCGGAAGAAATTTAATTAACCGTGGAATCACTCCACCAACGAACAGGAAGCTTAGGCTGCTAACTCGTTTCATCTTGATCAGATCTCCTGCGTGATGCCATGGTATGGCCCCACGCCTTCCAGGCAGGCAATTTTCGCCCGGAGAAATGAAGGATGGCTGACACGGGGCCAGTGCATCCCCTCCGATATGGTCGCAACAATGCGGGCATGGCTGTTTCCATTAGGTGGCTAAGCCTTGAGGTGTAACAACGGTCTACGCGCTCTCTCCACCACCACCCCAGCGTTCTACAAAGGAGTTCGGGGATATGCCGTGGTGACTACCGACACTCGAGCATATTGCTTGAAAATCACATTTTGCAGCAGCTCAAAAGCTGCTTTCGTGGTTCTTTTTTCCTGTTTTCCGCCCGTGGCGTATCCAGATATTAAGGGTCGCTCAGGGACCGGCGCTAGCCCAGCGCCGGCCCAGTGCCCTTATTTCGGAGGAGTCGGGCGAGATGTTCTCGACTTCAGGGAGTCCACCCTAGTGGATGGATCCCCTGGCGGGCCACAAGGTAACTGTCTCAGAGAAAGCACCTAAGGCGTTTGCTGAGATTAAGCTGTGGGACCAGAGAAATGATAGGGAATTATCGGATGGTTGCTTTTGCCCGAGTGATCGATTATAAGTATGGGGAGTCCGAACCGTTCGTTCGTTCTACTTGGCACATCACAATCAAGACTGGCTCTTGACATTCATTACTTGTCTTCTATCTTGTGTTTTCGCTCCTTCTTTCTTACCTTTAGTCATTCATTCCTTTGATCGACCAGTTCGACGTACATTCTTTTCAAAATGAGAATCAGCAACTTGATCGTTGCGGCCTCTGCCGCCACCATGGTGTCCGCTCTCCCCAGCCGCCAGATGAAGAAGCGTGACTCTGGCTTCAAGTGTATGTGATGTTTGTCTGAAGTTCGATGCACTAATCTAATTAATGTAGGGGTTGGTACTAGCGAATCCGGCGCTGAATTCGGCTCCGCCCTCCCTGGTACCCTGGGAACCGACTACACCTGGCCCGAGACTTCCAAGATCCAGGTCCTGAGAAACAAGGGCATGAACATCTTCCGTATCCCCTTCCTCATGGAGCGTTTGACCCCCGATGGCTTGACCGGCTCTTTCGCTTCGACCTACCTCTCTGACCTGAAGTCGGTATGTTGTCGCTCATGCCCTTGATATCATCGTCGTTATGACACTAACCGGTTACACAGACCGTCGAATTCGTTACCAACAGCGGTGCCTACGCTGTCCTTGACCCCCACAACTACGGACGTTTGTAAGTAGATACAGTTTGCTGAGAATGAATGGCATATGATGGCTAACAACTTGCAGTGATGGAAGCATCATCGAGTCCACCTCCGACTTCAAGACCTGGTGGAAGAACGTCGCTACCGAATTCGCCGACAACGACAAGGTCATCTTCGATACCAGTGAGTAAACCTTCTATACGGGTTATACGAAGAGGTATCTAATTAAAATAGACAACGAATACCATGACATGGAGCAGTCCCTGGTTCTGAACCTTAACCAGGCTGCCATCAACGGTATCCGTGCCGCTGGTGCCACCACTCAGTACATCTTCGTCGAGGGTAACGCCTACACTGGTGCTTGGGACTGGACTACCTACAACGATGACCTGTCTGGCCTGACCGACAGTGAGGACAAGATCATCTACGAGATGCACCAGTACCTTGACTCCGACAGCTCCGGTACTTCGGAGACCTGTGTCAGCTCCACAATCGGCAAGGAGCGCATCGAGAAGGCTACCGAGTGGCTGAAGACCAACAACAAGCAGGGTATCATCGGTGAATTCGCTGGTGGTGTCAACTCCGTGTGTGAGGAGGCTGTCGAGGGCATGCTCGCGTACATGTCCGAGAACTCCGACGTCTGGGTTGGTGCTTCCTGGTGGTCTGCCGGTCCCTGGTGGGGAACCTACATGTACTCTCTGGAGCCCACCGATGGCACCGCCTACTCCACCTACCTGCCCATCCTCGAGAAGTACTTCCCCAGCGGTGATGCTTCCTCCTCCAGCTCTGCCTCTGCCTCCGTTGCCGCTGCTACCTCCGCTGTTTCCACCACCACTGCCGCTTTTGAGCAGACCACCACCCCCGCCACCCAGGTTGAGATTGCCTCTTCCTCTTCTTCCTCTTCGGCCGTCGCCGCCAGCCAGACTACCCTCAGCAAGGTTAAGTCCAAGTCCAAGTCCCCTTGCAAGCTGTCCAGCGCCACCTCCAGCGCCGTCTCTAGCGCTGCCGCTGTCACCACCCCTGCCGTCGCTGCTACCACCCCTGTTGTCGTTGCCACCACCCCTGCCGCCGCTCCTACTTCTTTAAGCGTCGCTTTCGCCACCACTTCCGTTTACGTTCCCACCACCACTGCCGCTGCCCCCAGCCAGGTTAGCTCCAGCGCTGCTGCTAGCAGCAGCGGTGTCGTCGGTGTCAGCGACCCCCAGGGTCCTTCGGCCACCAACTCTGCTGGTGAGGTGAACCAATACTACCAGTGCGGTGGTATCAACTGGACCGGCCCTACCGTCTGTGCCAGCCCCTACACCTGCAAGGTCCAGAACGACTACTACTACCAGTGCGTTGCTGAGTAAATGCACTCACTCCGGCCGGATATCTATCTGGAAGGGAAAATGGGAAGAGAAAAGGAGGACGAGGAGGTGATATAGAGGGTCCAAGGATGAAGTTGTTCACGTTCTTGTATATAAATTTGTAAACACTATAAATCAAAAGCGACCCGAGGTCCCGTCTACTTTCACAACAAATGTCCCATCCAGAGCATTACTAGGTACACCTCATTCTCACACCTCATAATATTTGGTATTATAGACTTGAATGCGTAAGCAATACTACTCTGAAGTAAATACTCCGTTACAGACCACTCGTCCCGCCCGGGAGAGAAAGAGAGAGAGAGAGAGCGGGGGCCGTTGAAACACCGACCGAAGCTGAAACGCAAGATCCACCAGCCCACACCCTCAACGGCGGCAATTACGGCACATTGTGTGGCCCATCGTTCGTTCGTGACAGGACTTGGATAAAATGTGATACGCAAGAAGGAGGAGTACGTTTCAGGAATGTTTTCGGATTTAACGGGGAGCAGAGGGAGATACGCAGTCTAGAAACAGTATGTATTCTAAGAAAGAATGCTGTGGGGGCTTGTAAGCGGATGGTGAAGCAATTAGGGTAAATTGTTTACCCGGGTAGGGTGGACTCGTTCATTATTTGTTTGTGATGGAAGGTAAGGTGATATTTGTAGTAGTTTAGGTCGTGGTAATTGAAAGGGGTAGGGGTATGAGATCTAGTGGATGAATGGAGAGCTTCCTGCAGTATTGAAATTATCAGATAGCATTATCATATCAAAAGCGAGATTTACCCTATTCGCTGGTTAGTAGTCTTTAAGTATTGGTCCTGACGAGGTAGATTGTCACCTGACCCAGGTGGATACTTTCTGTTCTTGCCCTCACTTTTCCCTTACAATCCCTTCACTATTACTCGGGAGTGTTTTATGCTGCCTTTGTTACCACTATGCGAGTACTATCGGTGCATGGCAAATGCTGCTGTTCGCAAAATACCTCCCAAATAGCCACTACCTACAGGGGGAAGTTGGCCATTGCGGACAGTGCAGAGCACCATCATGGACTGCATCCTCGGAGCAGGATGCCTTTTCCAGCAGGCGGTAGTAACTTAAGAGAGTTTGTCCAGCCAAGCGAGCACCAACATAGCTCTCAGTTCACTGGAAAGACGAAGTATCCTGCTTGCAGTGTTGGGGAAGAAGTGGAGGTGCTGAGAAGGGATTGTCCACCTCACCCCGCATCTCCGCAATGTCCTGCACTTCTTCAATCCCCTCAAGGGTCTTTAATTGGCGGGTCAATACTCCCCGCACCACTTGTTATGTCGCTTGCAGTATGACTTCTCGGGATTGAATTATTTGATCTCACTTTTAGGGGATAAGATAATGTACTCGCGCTGATGTGCCCACGCAGCTTGGCAGAGCAACCCAGCTATGAGTAGGTGGTCTCGAAACAAAGGAGCAACAAACCTGCTGCGCACATTTATAACGCTCAAGGCCGCTCGCTTGGGCTTTTCATCGACAGTAATCTGCCGATCATGTTGATCGAAACCTCGGAGATATCGCAAGAAGTGCATAGAAGATGGTTTCTCTGCGTGACGCCACATCGTGGAGGGGCCCATAAATGCTGATAGCCTGAGCTATCCTACCGTCCATCACGAGATAACTAGTCTATAACCGAGCCTCGCTAGCCACCGCAATACGCATTTAGGTACAGTCATGAAGACCGCTGATGGCTGCGAGGTGGGGCTACCTCGACTTGC